CAAATGCAATATACTTATTACATACAAAATATGCATGGTAGGTCTCTCCCAGTTCACTTTTCTTTTTACGATTTATTATGTTAATATTTTCTAAATTGTTTGCCTTTCCACAAGTAAAAGGAAATATAATTCCATCCAACCCATCTACATAAATATCTGTCTTTGAATCAAATGACATAATACTTACTTCTGATAAAATTGTTTCATTTTTATTTGGAATATAAAGACTACCACCATTAAATGAAATTTTAGCTCTTTTTTCTATTGAAATACTTCCCTGTATTAGATCAATTAACCCATTTGGTTCAAGGTCTATTGTTCCATTTACAATAAGTTGACCATTTATAGTTATTGGATATGTTATAGGCCAATTTTCTGATGTAACTGTTCCAGCTATTTTAACTTTCGTTCCAACTAATGATTTGATAATAAGATTATTAGATATAATCTCTACTTCTTTTGTATTTAATGTTCCAATTGACCCTGTCATTTCAATACTTCCACTCTCCATCGATAGTTGTGAAATAATAACATCCTTACCAGTGATTTTTTTAATTGAAGATGTTAATGTAATAGATTCAACATATCCTTCAATATCATTTAACTCTGTTATATTTTCATCATTAAAGTTTAATAAACATTCATTTGATTTACAAGGACAAAATGGTGATGAATAACTAGCGTTAGAATAACTGATTTTACCTTCTCCTGTTATTGTACATGTTAATTGTATTGGTGGTTGTTTATTATCTGGACAAGCAAATAAATGAGTATTTGCATATCTCAAATAAACAGAATCCATTGAATCAATAATAAAAGCATCTTTTACATTTGATTGTGCAATTAATTTGCAATCAGTAATACTGTTAACAACTACAATACATTCTTTTGTAGTTAATTTACCTGCTATTATATGATAATAATTATTTGTAAGTATTTGATTATTTAAAATTAAACTATTATAAATTTCAACATCGTTATCAATAGACATATGAGTTAATAAACCATCTATAATATTAATTGGTTCTTTACTGTTTATAGAACTGTCTGACATTTCAATGTATTTAATCGTTACATTTTTTAATGTTAATTCTAGAGATGGTCCAGTTTGATATACTGTTAATGACTGTACGTTATTAACTGTAAGTACTGCATCTCCCCAAACTGAAACAGAATTACCTTTACTTATTGTTAAGTCTTTTGAAACTATTAATTGGGTGATAGTTAATTGATCACCTCCAAATATAAAATTAGGAGGATAATTAATAATATTTGTAATTAACCCATTATCATAGTTATATGATGTTTGATCATACTCACTAAAATCAAGTGTACAACTTATTTCAAAAATACCATTTATATTAGAAGTACATGGATTTTCTGGAATTTTTACAGTATTGCCTGAGCATACATACCACTGAATTCCTTTTTTACATATCCATGATTCAGCGTTATTACATGACGCCTTCCCATTAAAAATATCAAAAAATTCCATTTCTTGTTTAGAATTAACAGATGTTGTAGTGATATCATATAATTTTTGACATGTTTCTAATTTATCAACTATTTCTAAAGAATCAAAATATAGTGCACTAATAGAAGTTATTATTGATGTAGCTAATTTTACTTTTGCATGTAATGTTTTTGGAATTGTTTTAAAAATAACAGTTCCTTCATTATATAAAACAGTATCAAAAAATGAATTGATTATTAATTTATGTCCTTCTTTAATGAAATATGAACAATTACTAGATCCATATAATGTAATTTCTCCTTCAATTATAATTGTTCCAGAAGTACATTGAATTGTTTCAACTATTTGTTTTCCTTTTAGTGTTAAATTACCATTTGAAAAAATTTTTAAAGAAGGTAATGAAATAGATGGTTCATCATCTACACTTGTAATAACTGAATTCATTTGTGTAGTTATTACTAAAGGTGAAGTGAATAAAGATTTTGGTGTAGCTAATGAGAGAGTACTATCAGGATTTAAATAAATACCTTTATTAATATAATAAAAATCATATTTTATTTGACCGTTAATAATAAATGAACAAAATGAACATGAAGTTGATGAACATGGAGTATTTTTATTATAATTATATTCAGTTAAGAATTCATTTTTATTTGAGTTAATAGTACATTGAATTAAGGGACATAAATTATCATTAAATGTTTGAGTAGATAAAATTAAAATAGAATTTAAACAAGCCCATTTATAAGTAGAAGGAAAAGAATTAATTGAGTTAGAGATTTGAGATGAATAAATAATAGATTTATCGATTTCATTATCTCCTTTTATAAAAGAAGACTTTAATGTTTCATCAACCATTTTAGAAATAGTTAATTCTGAAGACCTTAACAATGAATTAGTACTTTTATGCCATTCAGTATTAATTAAACCATTATTTATATTAACTACTCCTGATGAAATAAGATAATTTGTATCAATTGAATTAATATCTGTATTTATAACAGTAAGTTTTTTAATTTGATCAATATAATAACTATTAAGATATGAATTATCAATTACAATTTCTCCAACACCAGAAATATATTTAATATTAATATCTTTTGTTTTATCTAGTGTATCAAAACTTAATACAATATTTTCATTTCCTAAAATCATTGAATAATTATAATAACTCTTTGAAAAAATAATATTTCCCGTTAATTGTTCTAAACTAACTCTCATACCATTATAAGGACAATTTTGAAATAAACCTATTTCATAATTATAATTATTTGTTATATCAATTGGTGACGTTAACCCTTTTTTTAGACAACAAAGAGGTAATGACCTTTGACAATCCCCTGTATATTTATCTTTAATTGAAACAAATACAACACTATTGTTACATGCAAAATGAGCAGAACCATCAGTTAATTGAGTAAATTCGAAATTAGAAGTATAACCATCGAATAAAGTATATTGAGATGAATAACTTTTATAATAAAATGCATTCCCAAAAATAAATTTTGCATTTCTTCTTAATATAATTCCTCTATCATTTTGATCAAAAATACCTAGTTGTGATACTCTTGTTTCAGTATAACTATTGTCTTGTCCTACAAATACTTTTTTATGATAAATAAGTTGTCCAACTTCAACCTTTCCTTCTGTAGAAATAATACCATTTTCTTTAAATTCAATACTTTCAAATACTCCTTGTTTAATTTCAGCTTCTTTAAAAAATATTAGTGAATTATCATTTGATGTTTGTTGTAGTGTAAATGAACCATTAAAATAATAAGTACCATGTCCAATAGAAATAAGATATTCATTAATATTTGAGTTAATAAGATTAGCTGTACTTTTAGTTGAACCTTCAATGATTGAAACAATAAGACCATCAACTACTATATTAACATGAATATTTCCAAGAATAATTTTATTAATTTTTGGATATCCATCTTTAGCTGGATCAAATTTTCCGGTATAGTCATTAACATTTAATTTTGTAAAATCATAATTACAATATTTAAGGTCTTCATCATTTGAACCACATGGACAATAAACAGTATTATCATTTAAATAATCATGAGTAGTCATTGAATCTTTAAGTTCAAGAATAGTACATTTAGCATCAGGATTAAAATATCTTGTATATTTATCACAATCAACAGAAGAACTTGCATAAATATGATTTCTACAATATGAATGTACGCCAATAATGTTTATCTTAGAAATTATATATGTTGCTACAATTACTGTATCTCCATATGTTGGAAATGTTATTTGGTTTACTTTAATTTCAGAGTTTGATAAAATATTAGAAATAAATAATATTCCTGAACTTATTGTTTCTACTGTAAGTAATGTATTTACCTTTAATGTTTTTTTAAGTTCAATAGATTTGGTACTTGCAAAATGTAAAGTACTGCATTCCATAGCTAAATTTAATACTTCTACTTCATTTAATTTTATATCTTCAGAAAGTATAGCACTTCCATCATTAATAATTAATGAATTGTCTTTATTAGAATTACCAAGCACCAAATTTGAAGCAATAACATTAATATAATTTAATACACCACTTTTTATAGTAATACTTTTAGTCCCTTCATTAACAATTAAATTACAATTTTTCATCATAACATTTCCAAGAGATAAAACAGATGAATTGATAATTGTTAATGAACCATTTTTTTCAACAATAAAATTATTAGTTATTAATGACTTCTGTGTCATGTCAATTTTCTCTATATTCCCGATGACTGTTATTGATTCAACATTAATATCAATTCCAAACACTAATGTCAATTGATCTGTATTAATAACTAAATTTGTACTTGAAGTAAGGCAACCTTGCGGATAAAAACTATTTTCGTTAATAGTCCCCTGATAATCTTTAATAACACATTGACCATTAACTAATGTAATGATAAATATTGAAATAAGAAATGATTGAATCATCTTTTTATTTTTTTAAGTTTTCTTTTTAAAACTTAAAGAAGTCTTAATTAAATTATAGTTTTATTTATTAAAAAAAAATAGATAAATAATTAGAGTGAAGAGAATGTCTTATTTCTACTAATAAGTATTTTATTCAACTGGTGGAAGATTATCAGGATATCCTCCTGATTGTAATAATGTTCTAACTAATGCCTTTGCAAGAATGTATTGATGTGCATTTAATGCTCCTTCCTTTCCTGAATCTGCAATTGACCAAATCTTTTGAAGATCCTTCTTATCTGCTCCACTAGCCATTAATGGTGCAAAACAATCTTTACCAAGTACTTTACCAACTTCATTCTTTGGTAATTTATCAAATTCTTTTTGATATGAATTCATTTCATCTTCACTAACATCAAGAGTAATACAACATTTTTCAAAGTTACTTGAAACTTCAAATGGATTAGTATGAGTTGATAAATCATCTTCCATTGGGAATTTTTTCAATAATAATGGAATTTGAGTTCCAAGAGCATCATCAACTGCATTAACCACTCTTAAGTCTAATTTAGGGAACTTAGAAAAATCACAATTTTCTAATCGTTCTCTATACACATCAATTGGTGGGAAATCACCAATAGCTAAATTATATCTTTTCATAACAGTATTGAAAACAGTATTCAAATCCTTTAATAATTCTGCCTTCTTCTTATCTTTACCAAATGTTGGCATTTGTTCACGAAGATATGATGTAATATATGCATTTGTTTTAGCTAATCGTGCACGTTTACATAATTCATTAACTTTACGAACAGTAGCTTGTTTTGGTAATGCATGAAGATCATACATTAAATCATCACGTTCTTTTTCAAATAATCCAGTAAATAATGATTCTTTAAATGGTTGATCCCAAAATGAAGAGACATAAACTCTAAGACATTCTGGTGTTTGCATAACTTTACCAAGTGACCACATGAGAGCACCATAAACTCTCATTAATTGTTGTGAATCAATAGAATCTGCTTTATTCAATACAAGTCTCATTTTTTCAGAATGTTTCTTAACAGCTTCAATAACTCCTTTAAATTCATCAGAAATATCTAATTTATGTGCATCAAATACAAGTACAATCATATCAGCTCTTTCAGCAAACCATCTTACAACTTCATTAAAATCATATGATCTACCAATTCTTTGTTTTTCTCCAGATAAAACACCTGGAGAATCAATAAAAGTTAAATGTTCAAGAAGTGGAAGATTACAAAATGATCCATTAAACTTAGCCATAAAATCATTACCAAACTTAGACAATGAAGTAAATGGTTTATCTGATTGAACACATAAAGTATTACCTGGAATATTAGTAGAATTAGGTCCATGCATAATAGCTGCAAATCCATCAGTAGTTGGTTCAGGGCCAATATGAGAGCCTGGGTAATCATAATTTAATAAATAATTAATAAAAGTGGTTTTACCAGTAGAATATTGACCAAGGAATAAAACCATTGGCTTTGCGTCAAAGTCAGCCTGTCTCATAAGAGGTGAGATTAAATAGTCATACTTATATTCAGCCTCTAATTTTTTAATTTTTTCATCATAGATTTTCTTGATACCATCAATAACTGAAACATAAGTAGGATCTACAGGTTGTTTTTGATTTTTCTTACCAAACATATTTTCTTAAGATAACGTAAATTTTTAGTTTAAAGTTCATTAACTTCTATTACTATAGATTTTTCTTTTAAAATAATAAATATAATACAATTTACTATACTAGTTGTTAAATATTAATATCAACGAATCATCTGTGACTCTTCTATTCCAATTACTTTTTTTTGATGTTTTTATTTTTTTTTTTTTAATAATGTTATTTAATAACAAAATAAAAAACCTCATATAGAATTATTTTGGGATATCATTAGAGGAAATTAAAAAAAAAAGAAATATCATTAGAGGAAATTAAAAAAAAAAAAGAAGAGGGTTGTTCAGCTGTTCGTGGCGGTAACGTGGAACCAATACTAAGAAAAGTGGCAAAAAGAATATTATTTTAAGAAAGGAAAATGATAAAACAAACCGAAAATAATATAAAATATACAAATGATGGGAACTTTTCTTTTTTGGAAACTACTTTGTCAACCCTTTAAAACCCTCAAGCCACGTTATAGGATGACGTGTTGCTGAATAGTGAAATACAATCAACACCAAATATAAACCGAATCAAGTACTGGTTAAATCATTAAATGAGTAAATACACAGGACCAGCCGTTGGTATTGATTTAGGTACTACATATTCATGTGTAGGTATCTGGCAAAACGATAGAGTTGAAATTATTGCTAATGATCAAGGAAATAGAACAACACCATCATATGTTGCATTCACTGATACAGAAAGACTTATTGGAGATGCAGCAAAGAATCAAATTGCAATGAATGTTAAGAACACTGTTTTTGATGCAAAGAGATTAATCGGAAGAAGATTTAGTGATCCAGCAATTCAAAATGATATGAAACATTGGTCATTTAAAGTCATTGATGATGGACATGATAAACCAATAATTGAAGTAGAATATAAAGGAGAAGTTAAGAAATTTACACCAGAAGAAATATCATCAATGGTATTAACTAAAATGAAAGAAACAGCAGAATCATTTGTAGGAAAAGAAGTAAAGAATGCAGTTATTACATGTCCAGCATATTTCAATGATTCACAAAGACAAGCTACTAAAGATGCAGGAACAATTGCAGGAATGAATGTAATGAGAATTATCAATGAACCAACAGCAGCAGCTATTGCATATGGACTTGATAAAAAGAGTGATAGAGAAAAGAACGTTCTTATTTTCGATCTTGGAGGAGGAACATTTGATGTATCATTACTTGCTATTGACGATGGTGTCTTTGAAGTTAAAGCAACTAATGGAGATACACATCTTGGAGGAGAAGATTTTGATAATAGACTTGTTAATCATTTTATTGCTGAATTCAAGAGAAAATATAAGAAAGATATTAGTGGAAATGCACGAGCAGTTAGAAGATTAAGAACAGCATGTGAAAGAGCAAAAAGAACATTATCAAGTGCTGCTACAGCAAACATTGAAGTTGACCAATTATATGAAGGAATTGATTTTTATACATCTATTACAAGAGCTAGATTTGAAGAATTAAATATTGATTTATTTAAATCAACTATTGGACCAGTTGAAAGAGTCTTACAAGATGCTAAATTAGATAAAGGATCAATTGATGATGTTGTCTTAATTGGTGGAAGTACAAGAATTCCAAAGGTAGTTCAATTATTACAAGACTTCTTTAATGGAAAAGAACCAAATAAAAGTATTAATCCAGATGAAGCAGTTGCATATGGAGCAGCAGTACAAGCAGCTATATTAACAGGAACAGGAGGAAAAGCAACAGAAGATGTATTATTACTTGATGTTGCACCACTTACACTCGGTATTGAAACAGCAGGAGGAGTTATGACAGCATTGATTCCAAGAAATTCAACAATTCCAGCAAAGAAATCACAAGTATTCTCTACATATGCAGATAATCAACCAGGAGTATTAATTCAAGTATTTGAAGGGGAAGCATCAATGACAGCTCACTGTAACTTACTTGGAAAATTTGAATTAACAGGAATACCACCAGCACCACGAGGAGTTCCACAAATAGAAGTTACATTTGATATTGATGCAAATGGTATTTTGAATGTTTCAGCAGAAGATAAGACAACAGGAAAGAAGAATAAAATTACTATTACAAATGATAAAGGCAGATTAAGTAAAGAACAAATTGACAAGATGGTAGCAGAAGCTGAAAAGTTCAAGGCAGAAGATGATAAGATGAAACAAAGAGTTGAAGCTAAGAACAAGTTAGAGAATTTCTGTTATTCAGTTAAGAACACTCTTAGTGAACAATTTGCTGATAAGATTGCTGCAGATGATAAGACCACTATTGAGAATATTGTTAAAGAAACTCTTGATTGGATTGATGCTAACCAAAATGCTTCCACTGAAGAATATGAAAACAAGATGAAGGAAGTTGAAGGAAAAGTCCAACCAATCTTCACTAAGCTTTATCAACAAGCTGGAGCTGCTGGTGGAATGCCAGGAGGAATGCCAAATGGATTCCCAGGTGCTGGAGCTGCTCCACAAGGTAATGCCCAACCAAAGTCAAGTGGAAAAGGACCAACTATTGAAGAAGTTGATTAAATGAGTTAAATGGTTTTATCAATTTTTGTTTTTTTTTTTATTTAATTTAAATTTTTTTAATAAAGAAAAAAATGTCAAATAATAAATTATTTTAAAGAGTCGAAGGCAGCATTGGTTAATTTTCTTATGTTACTGTCAGGATGTTTGATAAGTTGGTCCAAAGTATTTTTAATTTCTGAGCAAGTTTTGATTCCACAAGAACTACCAACAAAGAATTGAAGTCCTATTTTAATGAAATAAGTATTGGTTTGTGTTAACAAACAGAGAATGATTTGGTTTATTTTTGTATTCCAATCATTTTGTAAGAACAATAAATTCTCTTTAGTAAGTAGTTTTTCCATTGAATAGTGCCAGTTTATCTTTCTTTGTTCTTCTGTTTGGTCAAAGGTATCAACTTGTGATTGAACGAAGCTCATTAAGTCACCAATAAATATTCCCCAAAACTTAGCTTCTCTTAATGACACAACAGAAGCTATACCAAAGAAATTATCAATGCACTTATCAATTAATAAAAATCCATTGACATACATTACATTCTTTTCTATCATTGTTTCAATTATTTTAGCTGTAATCAATGCTTCTTTTCCACTTATATTTACTCTTTTAAAAATACATTCTTTGAAAAACCAATCTACTCTCATTCTCATTGCCTCTATGCAATGTTGTACATTAAATTCTTTTCTTTTAGTAATTTGTGTTCTAATAACACTAAAATGTTCTAGATTTACTTTCTCTTTTTTTTCAAGTTTACTTATTGCAACTGAAAGTTGTTTTTTTAATTCTTCTTCTTTTACCCCTTTCCTTTGATCACATTCATATTGTAATTTTTTTATAACTTCAAGTTCTGTTGGTTCTAATCCTAATATATCATTATCAATACTAAAAAAATGTTCCCAAACAACTATTCTTTCATTATTTTCAAATTCATCAACTCCTTGTTGTTTTTCCATGATTGGTTTGATACCTTTCTTCATACCTTTCTTTTCAAGTCTTCTTATAATTTCCCACATGATTTCTGGTTTCATCTTTCTACAATATTTCTTTATATCCTCAAAGATTGTTTGTTCATTCTTTTCATTTAACAAATCTAATCCTTTAATCAACTTTCTTTCTATTTTACTCCAACGATCATACCAATCATCTTTTTCATATTTCATTCTTTCAATTTCCATCACACCAATCAATTCAATAAGAATTTTTTCTTGTACAAAATTATTGACCCATCTAGATCTTTCACATAAGCGTATAACTTCACTTAATATATGATAAACCCATTCTCCAAACCCATTCTGTTCAAATATAACTTTAATCCATTTAAATGTATCTTCATCAAATTCACACATTCCTCCAAGATAAGAAAATAAAACCATTTCAATATTTCTTCCTTTTTCAATTTCATTTCCACATCTTTCTGAAAACATTTTTGCAACTTCACTTTCATTAGTATCAAATCGTTTTTTTCGTTCTAAATTTTCAATGATTTCATTATTTAATTCATGAAATCGTTTACAAACAATTGAATTCATTAAACCAATTTCCCATTTATCTATCTTTGAAACAACTTTTACTATAGTAGTAGTAAAATTAGGATATGCCATAATAGTTTCTAAAAAATAATTTATAACTTCCTTTGGTCCACAATGTAACACTTTTTCCATTTCTTGTTGTTGTTCTTCTGAAGCTTCAGCACCTATCTTCTTAAAAATACGTCTTATCATTAATTCAGTATTTTCAATTGGTGATTCTGGTAATTGGTCAAATAATTCTATCCTATTTTTTATTGATAATTTACAAACCATATCATCAAATAAATGTGTTGAGATTGGAGTACTACTTTTTCTATTAAGTTCACCAAATTGACAGTAAGCAATATATAATTTAAAGAAAATTTCTATGAATCTAGACTCATTGAGACTATTAAAAAATTCTGTTGAACAATGAACATAAGGTAATTTATTAATTAAAGACATACATTGTCTTGGTTTATCTTTAAGTAATAAACAAGTTTGTTCTCTTGAAAGTGGTTTATTTTCAAGTAACTCTAAGATGAGATTATTCTTATCAAATGATTGTAAGATTATTGGAACAACTGCTTCTGAAGGATAATAAGAAATAACTTCATTGTCATAATCATAAAGTTTTATTAACATATTAATGTTTTGATTAAGTTCATCATTAGTAAATAATAATGGTAATAATACTACTGAAAGATGAAGTGAATGTAATAATTCATTAGACTTTTCAGAAGAAATAGTTTTACATTCATTTAAATAAAGTAATACAATCTTCATCATATCTAAATAATTTTTATTAGACATAACTATATATTAATAAGTGTTATCAAAATTATTACATAACTATGAAATTTAATTACAAACATGTAATTTTATGAATTGGAATGGAAATTATTTGGTCAATAGTGTCTGTCTTTGAGTTATCAATGGAACTACACTCTTCCATTTTTTTTGTGATTTCTTTTTCAAAAGGACTAAGTCCATTAATTTCACACTCCTCCATTCCTTCTAATCGGGGTTTCTTAGTTTTTTTCTTTCCTTTTTAGTTTTTTTTTTATTAATTTTTTTTAGTAAAAGAAAATGAACTTGTAATAATTAATGGGAAAAGTTTTTGGTGTATTACTCGAAAATGTGCCAACATGTAATGGTGTTCCATATCCTGTCTATGAACTTATTAGTTATCTAACCGAAAAGCAATCCCGAATAGAAGCTGAAGGAATATTTAGAATATCTGGAAAATTAAATGATATTAATATTATAAAAGCAAAGTATGATAATGGAGAATCAGTTGATTTGTCTAAATATGATATCCACACAGTGGCAGCTGTTTTAAAGGCATTTTTTAGAGAATTACCAGATTCATTAGTTACTCATGAAAATGTTTGTTTTAAATATTTTATTATTTATTAGTTAGACCCATTCTTTAGACTGATATGATAATTGCTACAGTTCAAATGGATGATAAATTCTATCCAACAAAAATTAAAAATATTCAAAACATATTAACATTTCTTCCAGAGTTTGTATTTTATATATTAAATTATTAAAATCCTTACTCATCTTCCTTTAGTATATATTATGAAACTTTAAAATTATTAATTCATTATCTTAGATTAATTGCTGATGCATCTTCAATCAATAAAATGAATGTATCAAATATTTCTGTCAGTTTGTTTTTAATATTTAATTTGAATAATAATAATTTTCTAATTTTTTAGTTTTTGGTGTAAACATATTTACTGGTATTGATGTTGTTAATTTACTTTCTTCAAACAATAGTGCATGTTTTGCTTGTACTAGATTTTTGATTGAAAATTATAAAGAGGTCTTTGATATTGTTCATGATAACTCCTTTAAAACAATGCAACTCCCTCAAACCCATGAACCAGAAAAAAAATTCCTTTCTATTCCAAGAAAATCCTCTATTCCACAACCCAAACAATCTCCTTCTCAACTTCCTAATACTTCTAATACTAATTCAGCTCGAGTCCCAAAACATCCCCTTCCACCTCTCCCTAAACAACGAATATTATTTGGACAACCAGTTCAACAAAAACCATCATCATCTACACAACCTATCTCTATTTCTCCAAGTCATTCACCAAATACAACTCAAACCTTAGGACCTTTACCTTCAAAACCACCACTTCCTGTAAAACCAATTCACAATGATAATACTATTACTCCAACACCTCAACTAATACATCGACCTCTCCCTCAAACCCCTTCACCAAACCATTCTCAACATCATCAACCAATTTCAACTAAATCAGAGACTTCAGTTGGAAGGTCTTTGCCTCCTATTCCTCAAAAAAGATCAGGAATAGTTACACAACATACTTCTTATCCACAAATATTGTAGAAATAAATTTTCTTTATGGTTTTATTTTTATTTTAATATAACAAAATATAAAAACAAATTAGTTATACAAGTGCAAATTCTGCTGATTTAATAATAATTGGAAGAAGTATACTTCCTACAACAATAAGAAATATTACAACAATAAGACAAATACAAATTAAAATAGACCATTTTTTCTATAAAATTATTTATAACTTTATTATTTATACAACAAGAATAAAAAAAAAAACAAACAAAACGATTTGGTTTTCTGATTCTTTGTGCTTTCTTAATATTAACTAATGCTTCTGTAGTATACTCTTTTGCTTGTTCACAGTTATCACAAATATTATTAATCATTTCACTTTGCATTTCAACTAATATTGCAGCATCAACAAATGTTTGAGCCAATTCATCAATACCTCTTATGATAGTTATGATTTCGTCATGTTTTGATTTAACATATGCCAAAGTATTAATGGATTGTGTTTTATTAATATGTTTTGAAGGTTCTTTCTTTAGTTTCATTTGATGAAGAAATCTCTTTCCTTCTTTAACACTTAATGTTTGAAGTTCTGGAGGAAGATTGTTTGTACCAACTAATAATTAGTTTTAATAAAATTAAAACCACATAAAAATTTTACAATATGCAAACTAAGTTTTACCTGTTTCTGGTAATTCTTTATTAATCCTTCTTTAATTTTTTCTTGAAGTGTTCTAGATTTTTTCATTGTTACGACAAATTTCATAGAAAGGAAAGATATTTGATTTTCTCGAATTCTCAATTCACTCTCTCCCACTTGGTGAATTGGATTTGATTCAATATCTCTTTTAATATTATCATTTTCTTGTTTAAATTCTTCTAATTCTTTTTCTATTCTTAATGCATCTGAGCATATTTTTTGAATTAATAATTTTAATTCTTCACAATCATCTTTTATAATGAATTTATTGCATTACAAATAAAATAAAAAGAAACAAACTTCTAACATCTGACACTTTCATTTGTTTTATTATTCGTTCATATTTAATTTTCATTAACTCATTATTATCTTCAATACTCATAAGTTGATGCTTAATTTCTTCAACTTTAGAAAGAAATTTCATAAGTCCAAATGGAAGTTGTTCAGTTTGGTCTTCAACAATAATCCCCGTTAATTCATCCTTTTGGCTGACTTTATCATTTGTGTCAGTACTATTATTCATATGTACTACTTTTTTGTTTTTTCTGTTCTTATTTCTATCTGTTTCGTTTAATAAAAATCTGTTTATCAAAACCAAAAAAAAGTCACTAACTTAAATTTAAAGTATATAATTGTAATATTTTTTGAAGATAAAATTTAATTTAAATTCTTATCTCTTCTTAATATATCTAAAATAGGATTGATAATAAGTTTATTTTTCTTAAATAATTTAAATTAACTATAAAATTTAAATATCAGAAAATATTTCGATTGAAATTTTGTTTTTCATTATGTCATGAAGAAATAACACTCAATATTCAAAATCTAGAATTTAACGGTTAAATGAAAATAGCCCCAAATATCAGTTAATTATAAAGTTATGATTTGAGTTAATCAATAAAACTACATTTTATATACTTAAAATGGTTTCATAAAAAATAATAATACTTTTGTGTTGTTTTAGGTTATGAACTAAACACTTTCTATATCTAAGCAATATACGGTTCTCATTATTCTTATTGAATAAGCGATGCCATAGGACAATTTTTTGAAACAAAAAAAAGAAACTAAACTTAAAAAGAAATTTAGACTTGTTGTTGACAATGAATAACTCAATGAGTAGGGCTTTATCGCGGTCTAAAAAAGCTCTTTCAGATGCACTTCTTGTTTATTTTATATTGAAAGAAGGTGGACAAATGACATTTTTCCGTCAAAACAAAGTAATTATGCATTAAAAGTGTTAGTAGGAAGAAATCTTACTATTTCAAACCAACATTACGAATCTGATTCTTTCACTAAAATGTCAACATTATTATGTTTTAACCTTCAACCCCATGTGAATAAAGCAAAATTAAAGAAAGAAAGAAGTATCAAGATAGATAAGTCAATGGTCAGTATTTATAATGAAGAAGAATTACATTTAAAAGCAATAGAACAAAGTGTTAAGTCATCGCAAATTAATGAATGTCGCAATAGAGAAGCGTCATTTTCAAACGCATTAGCATGGTTATTAATTGACCGAGGGTATTCTCTTCAACTAGGAATAACTACAATTAAAGAATCTTTAAAAGTAATTCATTTTTACGTTTGGGACTCAATTATTACTCCAAGTGGACATGAAATAACTATTAAAGAAGAAGAGAATAATCTTCGAGAATTAATACTTAAAGTACAAAGTAAATATAGTGGACTTTCTTCTAATGTTGTAACTCTTGCAAATTTACAAATTTCTCTTAGTGCCTTTCGCTCTCCTCTTTCTATGTTTATTCCATCGAATCCAAAGATATTTTCTATTCTCAATTCATTTAGGTATCCCTGTCAACCTTTTGATTCTTAGCTTTATTTTTCATCAGTTTAGAAAAAAAATTCTATTATATTGGTGGATATGTGTATATTATTATTACTAATTTAATTCCTTTTTATTATGAATTCTTTTTTTTTTGCGAAAAACTAAGAAAATTAGTTTTGGTATTTCAGTATGTATATAAAAATAGAATATTTATTAACTAGATATTGATTTTATAGATCTTTAGTTTCAATGGAACACCGTTATTGTGTAATTATGGCAGGAGGGGTTGGTGCTCGTTTTTGGCCCCTTTCAAGAGAAAGTAAACCAAAACAATTCTTAGATATCATGCATGTTGGAAGAACTTTTATTCAGATGACATTTGATAGATTGTCATCTATTATTCCTGTAAAAAATTTTATTGTTGTTACATCAATTCAATACCGGGAATTAGTTCAAGAACAATTACCAGAAATTCCAGTAGAAAATATTCTTTGTGAACCATATAGAAGAAATACTGCACCTTGTGTTGCTTATGCAAGTCATTGGATATATTCACGTGATCCAGAAGGAGTAATGATAGTTGCACCAAGTGATCATTTAATAACAAATGTAAAAAAGTTTATAAACGTTGTAAATGAAGCATTTTCTTTTATTGAAAAGCATCCAAACAAATTAATGACTTTAGGTATGACACCAACAAGACCTGAAACAGGATATGGTTATATTAATTATAACAATAACCAATTTATTGAAGGAAGTATTAGTGAAGTATTTAAATTTGTTGAAAAACCATCTATAGATAAAGCACTTGAATATCTTGCTTCAGGTAATTATGCTTGGAATGCAGGTATTTTCTTATGGACTGCAAAAACAATAATTAATCAACTTAAACAATTTGCTCCAACAGTTGAACAATTTTTTGAAGATATTAAAGACAAATTTAATACTTCTGATGAAGTTTCTTCAGTTAATAATGCATATGAAAAATGTTCTAGTATTTCTATTGATTATGCTGTAATGGAAAAAAGTAATGATGTGACAGTAATTTGTTCTGAATTTGGATGGTCTGATGTTGGTACTTGGGGATCATTACATACTTTACAACAAAAAGATGAACAGCAAAATGTTTCTGATGGAAGTGAGTTGTATAATTGTCATAATTGTATTATTCATAAAAATTCAAATAAATACGTTGTTGTAGAAGGATTAAACGACTATATTATTGCAGATACTGATGATGCTTTATTAATTTGTTCTCTTAAAAATGAACAAAAAATTAGGGATTTTGTTTCTGATGCAAAGAAAAAAAATGCTGGAGTAGTTTAATTAAATTAACTCTTAAATTTTCTTATTAAATTTATGTTTTTATTATTTTTTGTTTTTATTTAAAAAAAAATTAAAAGAATTAAAAGATAATAAAAAAAATATTGTCATTCATGTCAAATGTACCAATATCATTAAATAACTTAACACCTTCTACAAGAAAATCACATAGAAAAATGATTAGTGTAAATACAAGAAAAACAACTTATATGGATATTGATGGTAATTGGACTGGTGAAAATGTATTTGAAAAAATATCTCTTATAGGGGCAGGAGGATTTGGAGAAGTTTGGAAAGTTAGACATAAGTCAATGAGATTTATTTCTGCTGCAAAAATTATTAAATTAAATAAATCATCAAGTGAATCAATTCAAAAAGAAATTATTACATTTAAACAAATGAAACACCCTAATATATTAAGTTATTTAGGAACGTATACAGAAAAAGATAATGTTTGGATTATTATGGAACTTTGTAATGCTGGTAGTTTAAAAGATATTATTAAAACATTAAATGCACCTTTACCTGAACAAGCAATTGCTTGTATTATTAAAGGAGTTGTTAATGGATTAGAAGCATTACACAATGCAAATATTATTCATTTAGATATTAAACCAGCAAATATATTAATTAGTGATGATTGTGAAATTAAACTTACTGATTTTGGTATTAGTAAACATGTAAATGATTTATGTGAAGATAAATGGTATGGATCAGCACCATATATGGCACCTGAAGTTGTTTTTAAGAAACCATTTACTACAAAAAGTGATATTTGGTCATTAGGAATTACTATATTAGAATTAAGAGAAAGAAAACCACCATATGAAGATTTAACTACAATGAGAATACTTGAATTAATTAAAAAACATCCACCACCTACTTTTAAAAATAAAGAGGAAAATAGTGAAGAGATAATGAATTTTGTTGCATTATGTCTTATTAAAAATAGTAGACAAAGAGCAACAATAAATCAACTTAAAAGACATAAATTTTTAACACAAGTTGAAGATAACCAACCAGTATTAAATCTTTGTGTTTCAGTTTATCAAGCTAAATATCATTTAATACCTCAAATTGAAATATTACCTGATAATAAATTTGCTATTAAATATTTAGATAAAGACGATATAAGTAAAACACAAGTACGTTCATTTTATTCTACAACAATAAAACAACAAAACCAAACAGATGTTATTGGAACATATCCTGATAATACTTTAGTTGGAACAACAGAATGTTTACCTGAAAATACAGAATTAATTAATGAACAATTTAAAGCAATTGAAAAATTAAAAAATGATATTCAAATTCTTAATGAAAAAGTATTAAGTTTAGAAGAAAATACTACTTTAAATATAAAAGAAACTACTAAAAAAAAAATAAAAGAAATTGATAATTATAAAACATTAATTAATGGATGGACAAAAGAAGTAGTTGAAAATATGGTTAATACAGCTATCGATGAAAAATTAAAAGAAATATATGGTTCAACACTTGAAAGTACTGATGGAGATGTTTCTCCTTGTGGAGTATTTGTACCAATAAAAAGTATTGAATCAACAGAATCATCAAGAGAAGTGTCCAGAGAGAATTCACCTCATTTAGAAGATCTTAATCCAAGAATACCTAGACCAAATAAAAAAGATTTAAAAAAGAATTTTAATTTAAGTGTTAAAATTCCAAAAGAAATTATAAGTCCAAGAAAGAAAACATTAAAAAAAGATGAAAATTCATTAAGTTTAAATTCTATTGACAAAGAACTTATTTCATTAAAAAGTAAAACAAAAAAGAGTATTACTTTAAGTGGACCAACAAATAAATTTAATTCTTTTGAAAGTAAATCATTAAAAAAAAGAAATGTTAATAGTAGTAAAGAAACAGATATTAAACCTTTACAAAAACAATTAGACAAAAGTGATACCTCGGATGAAAAAATAAAATTATTTAATAATGAAATTAATAAAACTTCACCTAAAATGTCTTGTTGTGATAATACTCCTCTTCACATCTCCAGTATTAAATTTGAAAAAAAATCAGAAAGTCCTACAACAAATTCTTCTTTAAATAATTCTTTAAATACTCAGTTTAAAAAACAAACTGGTTTAAATGTAAATGTTACTACTTCTCCTCTTGATATTAATCATTCTAAAATTAATGAATTAGAACCTAATTTTTCTAATCATATTTTAATAAATCCAAAAACTCCTAACGTTACTTCAACTCCTTTAGTTAAACCAAATTTTAATGTTCTCCCTTTACAACAAACTAAACAACTACCACTAAATTCATCAACTCAATCAAACTCAACTATATTACCTGATAAAGTACACACAACAAATTCTCCACAATCAACTATTATTCAAAGAGGAATTTCATCTCCACATTCATCTCGTAAAGAATCGCTTCGAAAATTTCCAATGAAACAAAAAAGATTTTCAAAACAATCTTCTAAAATTCTTCATGGACAACTTACATCAACAACAAAATCTTTTTTAGACCCAGAATTAGAAAATAAAGTTATGGGATTATTAAGGTTTGAACTTAGTAAAGCTAAAAGTGCTGTTTGTGAAATGGTTCCTTGTCACTTTGAAATTTTAAGAACCGAATTAATTGATGAAATTGAAAGAAGAAGTAAAGTTTATAACTTTAATAATACTATTAGTGAAGGTGTTCCAATGAAAATAACTGATTTAGAAAATAAAGTTAATAATTTAGATGCTAAAATTATTGATGTTAATATTCATTTATCACAATTCAAAAACGAACTTCCTTTAATAATTACTCAATTTAAAAATGAAGTTCTTGATGCTTTTATGAAATTGTAATTCATTTTTATTATTCTTTTTTTTTATTTTTAAAAACAAAAAAAATCAATTAATTTAAATATGTTTTTTTTGTTTTTCAGGTTGAAGAGTAGAAGGATTTTCTTCTAATAATTTTGTTATTTTATTATATGATTTTGTTAAAGATTCTTCAACTATAACTGGAACTTTATGAAGCTCATTATTCATTTTCTTTAAATAACTCTTTAAATTTCCAACTTCATTTGTTAATACTATTGTATGACAAATACCTTCATTTCCAGCTCTTCCAGTTCTTCCAGCTCTATGAACATATAATTGTGTTGAAACTGGACAATCAAAATTAATAACAGTTTTAAGTCTTTTAATATCAATACCACGTGACATTAAATCAGTGGTAACAAATACATCAATTGAATCATTTTCTACTTTTTTAATTACTTTTAATTTTTCTTTTTGTTTCATTGATGAAATAATACATCCAATTTCTTTTTTATTTTTTCCAATAAATTCTGCCATTTCTTGAATTAATCTAAATAACACAAAAGCAGTATTATTACTATTACAAAATATAATACTTTTTCCTGATGTTTTAAGTAATTCTAATACAACAAGATCTTTTTCTACAGGAAGAACCGGTGTATATCTATTTTCAATTGTTGATGGTAGTACATATTTTGTTTGTGTTATTTCATTAATGTCTCTAACAAATGAATCATCAAATGTTAATAATAATGGTTTATTCATTTGTAATTGTTTAAATGCTTTAGGAGATGATGATAATGTAGCACTAAATAATAATGATCTAAATTGATTTGTGCTTGATGAAAATACATTTAAACTTTTTCCAGTTTTAATATCAACCATATATTGTGGAGAAATGTATTGTTTTTTTATCATATTTAATAATGGAAATAATGCAGGAATCGTTAACAATTTATCAGTTTCATCATAAATTAAATATTTTAACCATTTTAAATCAAGTGTTGATTTAGATAAATGATTTAATAATCTAATTGGAGTGGTTACAATAACATGGCTATTACATGATGTTTCTTTTTCAATACTAGATTCTCCCAAAGATGTTAAATTACAATTTATTGTTTTTAATAAAGGTTTCATAACATTTGATACTTGAAGTACTAAAGGAAGAGTTGGAATTAATACAACTGTCTGGATATGATTGAATAATGGGTTAATTAATTTTAATAATGGTAAAGTATATGCTAACGTTTTTCCACTTCCTGTTGGGGCACGAACAGCAATATCAGTATCAGTAGTAAAAATAAATTGTTGGACAATTTTTTGCATTGGATAAAGTTCTTTTATCCCATTTATTTCTAATATTTTTGTAATTTCATCGGTAAATTCATTGTTAATGACTGTTACTTGCTTTCCTGAAACTTCTTTTTCCCAATGAAATTCTTGTGTACCTTTTTCATTCATTTCAATTTCAGCTGAGTTATAAAATTGTTTTTTCGTTGTTTCTCTTTCATGTTTTTTTATTTGGTTTTTGTGTTTTTCATGTACTTTTTGAAGTGAAAAGTGATCACTTTTTTGTTGTTTATGATGAGAAGGATTTTGCATTATATTTTATTATTTTTTTAAGATATTTTAAATTTATAGTTTTTTTATTATTTATTGAACTATCAGATATATTAAATGATATTGATATTAATTCAATCAAAATATTTCACACTTTATACATGGATGATTTAAAAATCATGCGTGATTTGAAGAAAGTAATGGAAGTATCCCATCAAAATATTATTGGTTTAGTTAAATGAATATGGATGGAAGTAATCATTAAAAAATGTTGAATAATTAGAAAATGAAATATTACAATCAATGATAACATGATTGAAATAATAATTGTAGATGACTCCAATTCATACAAATATCATTGTGTCTTCCAATATGAGAAGAATGATGATGTAAAATATGTATTAATAAAATAGAAAATGATATGATAGATAAAATAGATATCATCAATAAATTGAATGAAAGTAACAGAAATTACATCAATACAATTAATATTGAAGTCATCAATATTTTTAGAAGTGCTGCATCTATGATCCATTGACCAATCAATAAATTAGATAAAATTGATCTGTATATTATAAAGAAGATGCAAGATGCAAATATCCATTCTAAACATTAAGTAAAGACTATATATTAATAAAGATAAATTATGAGATTGATTAGTGTCATTAAGAGATGAATATGAAATAGAAATAATAAGAACAATAATGTATTATGAATGGAAATAATAAAATAGAGAAATGATGAAAATGAATAAGAAATGAATTTTGAAGAGATTTTAAAAACATGTGAGAAGAGAATTAATAAAAATGAAATTAATGAAATATATTTTATTGTCATAAAATAAGAATGAACCATCTACAGTATTAAAATATTTAAATAATAAAGTTAGTGAAATACATATTAATAAATTGAAATGAAATAATGTAAGTATTCATTTAATAAAATATTTTAAAAATGAAATGAATGATATGAAATTAACAAATAGAATAATGATGAATATTAATATAGAATGAAATGATTATAATTAATTAAAATTAATGCAACAAAATGGTACATTTGCATTGATTAAGAATGCATTATTTACATAAAATAATAAATTAAAGTGGTGTAGTATTTATAATGATAAAATATCAACAAATGAACATATATTATTAAATTATATTATAAATAAAAATATACAAATTGATAAACATGAATTAATAAGAGAATATATCTGGAGATGTGATAAATTAAAATATAAAATAAATATAATGAATGAAAATGAAATGGAAAAGAAAACAAGAGAGAATAAAATGAAATTAATATTAAATAAAAATGAAATAAGTAAATTCCAATGAAGAATTGAAAATAATGAAGTGTTCATTGTATTGAACTAAGAAATAGTTAATAAAAGTGAACATTTCATAAAATATCAGATATTTATATAGAAGATAAAACAAATATAAATAATAAGTGATACAATAATATGTAATAAGAAGATAATTCTAGCATTTACTAACAAACTTGAAATGTATAAATTTCACCATTTCAAAATAATACAAATTATTAAACTAAAATGAAAATAATTCCAGTAGTAATAAAAAATAAATTGATTATTTAATAAAGAGTCAGTAAGAATGTTAAAAGACATAGTAATTATGAACATGAAATAATTAATAAAATAATAAAATCATATAAATATATAATGATATACAATATATAATAAACAAGACTCGAAAGATGGTGAAGGATATAATTTTAAATAAATAAAATAAAAATCAATATAATACCACTGATATTTCATTTAGTAATTTTTCTATAATATTTTTGTTTTGTTCTTTTAATTCATCTATTCTTATTATTTCTTTTTCAATCAAATAATACGTTATTTATCTCTATCATTTTTAGTGTTTCTGAATGAAACGGAGAGTTAACACCTTATTTTTTTTTTCTTTACGTATGAAAAATAACTGAATAATCAAGAAGATAAATTTGATTTATTCTTTCAATTAAAAAAAGAATATTTTGAGTTAAGGAGTAACAGAATAAATATAAAAAAGAAAATTAAAAGAAATACGGATAAGTATAACAGAATTAAATATTCTAATGATAAATAAAGAACAATTAACAGTATCATCAAATAATAAGATGTTATAATAATATCATTCACTTATTTAAGTGGTTATTCGATGATATTTCTATGCAATAAATTAACACATTTTTAAAATAATCAAATTGGTATAAATTCAGTAATAGTATTATAGTATATTTTAATATAAAAATTATGAATTGTATAAACCAATAAATAATGAAATAAGAGAATATAAAGAAGAATATAATAATAAAATAAGATATATTCATTCTTATTTTATATTAGATGATATTTTATTATTTTATATTTGTTTATATTGTTTGTTTATATTTTATTATTATTATTATTTATTGTTGTTTATCTTATATCATTTATTTATTATATGTTGTATTGATATTTAACAATGTTAATATGAAATGAATAATAATGAATAAATATAAAATAAGAATAAAATGATATAAGAATATGACATAAATAATAAAATAAGAAATATATAATAGATATAAAGATAAAAGAAGAAGAATAAAATAAATAAATATAAAATAATATAAATAAAATAAAAAATAAATAAAAAAGAATAAAATAAATATTTTATTATATTTTTATTTATCTTTTATTCTTATTTCTTTTTATTATTTATTAAATTAACACATTGAATATGATTATTTGAAATAAAATAAAACAAGAATGAAATATGTCCATTTTTATATTCACTATTTCATTCATTGATAGATGAAATGTTCATATTCATTTATTAATTTTATTTTATATTCTTTTTTAGTTTTTATATTTCAAATAAATAATAATGAATAAAAATCATTTCATTTCAATTACAATAATTCGTTGTGGTGTGAAATATTCTGGATCTTGTTTTCCACAAAGTGCACCTTCAATTCCTTTATATTCATATGAACATTGATTACAACCTGATCTTGTTTTATAATTTTCTTTCCAAACATAAATATCACATATCCAAATTCAAACAATGATCATCTGATTGGTTAAATAACCAAAGTGCATATTGTGGATTATTAATATCAAATTTCATCATTACTTGTATTCTTCTTTTTGATTTTAATGAAAATAAAAATGATTTTGAATCATTTATATAATTATCAACTTTATCAATTTTCTCATTAACATATCCTCCAAATTTATTTCCATTTATACCTTCAATAATAATTATTATATGTTCTTTATTTATTATTCTTTGATCAAATACTGATGTATGCCTATTCCAATTATCATTATCTGAATCAAATAGTACATTAGATATTTTTCTTGAAGTCAATTCTTCTAGTTGCTGTATCTGTTCTTGTCTCTTTCTTCTTTCTCTTCTTCATCTCAAAATAATCACTATAATATGTGTCTCATTCTTTTTTCTTTTTGTTAAATTCTTGTGTGACTTTATCTTTTTCTTCTGGGGTTCTGAATAGTTTGTTTTTCATGACCATTTCTTCAATTGAAATGATTTTATTGATTATTTCATTCCGTGTTTTACTTAGTATTTCAGAATCTGAATTACATTCTTCTATTATTTTGTTCATTTGACTCTTTATTATTTCTATTTTATTTATTGTTTCTTGACTTTTTTCTATTACTAGTTTTCTTCTTCTTTCTGTTTCATCAATCCTATCAAATATTCCTTCTCCTCTTTTAATAGCTTCTGAATATGTTTCATCTGGTTTTATTTCAAATATTTCATTTTTAATACTTCCTAAATAATAATGATAATGTTTATTAATATCAACAATTGATTGTTGAATATTTAGAATTGTTTCTACTTCTTCTTTAAAGAAATGAGTGTTCTTGTTTATTAACTCATCCATTTTAATTTAATGAATATCAAATTAAAATCAGATGATTAAATAATTAAATATACTTTTATAAAACATTATTTTATTTATTATTTTATCATTTTAATAAATGTTATTTCATTTTTATTGTTTTAAATAACAATAATATATAATAAAATTAATAATAAAATAATAATATTTAATATTATTGTTATTTATCTATAATTAGTTTATTTTTTATTTTATTTTATTTATCACTTTTACTTTGAACTCCATCATAGAAGGAAAAGTAGAGTGTAATCCAATAATAAAAAACATCAATATGAAAAATAATACTATTGATATTGATGATGAATATCTTAATATTATCATCATTCAAGTTAAATAAATGAAAATAAATTAAATCATAGTTTAGAATGAAAGATACAGAAATTATGATAATATCATCATATTGGATGATTTAATTTTAATTATGATGAAAATAAATAACTAGAAATCACCAGATATTGATATTATTTATTTATATTAATTGAAGAGAATATCATCATCAAGAGAATATATTTTAATATATTTAATGAATAGTTAAATTTCAATGAAATCATCAAATTAAATATGGTAAATTAAAGAATAATATTCATCAACAAATGAAGTGATATGAATGATGTTATTAATTAACATCATATCAATTGTATAATGTAATTATGAAAGTATTTACCTCAATATTAAAAGATAATATTTATAATAGAATTAATATGATTAATGAATCATTTAAAATTAATAAAAATTAATTATGATGTAAATTATAATCTCTTGATGATAAATTATGAATAATTATATATTAAATCAACAGAAATTAGATAAATATAAAAAATATATAAATTCATATTATGATATTAATAAATTATATGAATCAATAAATCATGAATAAGTAATATAAATATTAAAATAATTTAATATAGAATGAATCAACATAAATAATATATAAAATATGATGAATATAATGAATAGAATCATATAATATAAATATAATGAATATAAATGATATATTAAAATGATTAATTTTACATTATAATTTAATATCATCTCTATCATCATCAAAATGAATATAATTTATCAATCATTAAACAGAAATTCAATAATATAAGTCATACATTATATAATGAATAAATGAGAATAATCAACAAATAAATTAAATAAATAATTAGTTGAATAAAGAAATGAAAGAAAATAAAACAAGAAATAAATAATATTAATCAAATATCATCTTAAAATGAAAATATCACAATAAATGAAATAGATGAAATGTATAAATATTTAAATATATGATAATCAGATGAAATTAATGATATATTCAACTATAAAATCATCAAATAAAAGATAATAATGAAAATTGAAGAAATAAATAGTGAAGAAAGTAGTAATAAATATTACAATAACTAACAATGAAATAAACAATATCTTCAGATATTCAACATCAGTAATAAAATTGAATGTAACTTAGATAGAATGGAAATTGAAATAATAAAATAAATAATAAATACAAAATATATTAGTTTTGTTAATTCTAAATACAATCTATATATCAATATAAATGAAATAATGATAATAAACATGAATAATGAATAAGTTAATGAAATAATTAGAATAGTAATGTATTATTGTACAAGAATGAAATAATAAATAATATATTAGATAGATGATATTCAAAGAAATGAATAATGAATAGAATTAAAAAATAATAAAACATAAAATCAAAGAAATAGAAATAAAATAAATAATAAAAGAAAAGATTGAAAATAAAAATAAATAATAATAAAAATAAATAAAATAATGATAAACAAATACATCAATAAATTGAAATTAAATAATTAGATATTTTAGAATATTGATTGAATCAAAATTTATAGATAAAACTACTACAAACAATGCATGGAAGTCCATCAATATAAAGAAAAATTCATTTCTCCATTTAAATAAAATACAAGATGGGATAATATTCAATATGTACAGAAAAGATAAAATATTAAAAATGAATAAAATACTCAACACTTTGTAAATACAAGATATCAACAATAGAACACATTCTACTATCTTGTATTTGTCATAAGAAATCATAAAATGAGAAACATGACCATATTTGTATTATCATATTAAATAATAAGAAAATACACAGGAAATAATCAATATAAGAAATCAACATATGAAATAATATTCTAATACAACGACATCACTATGATATTGAATAAACAAATAATATTAAAAATGAATGATAATATCATAAAATACCATATATATATATATATGTAATAAATAAAAAGATAAAAATGATCTATTATTTGATATGAATATTATTAAAGATCATAATATTAATGGAACCGATTTGAAGAAAAGAAACAAGTATAAAGAAATGAAGAATATGATATTAAAATAGAGAAATTAAAAGATATCAAAAAAATACAGTATTAATTTCAATAAATTAAATAATAAATGCTGAAAGTATTAAATTAATTAAAGAATTAAAAAATGAAATTATCATCATAAAAGAAGTTAAAAACCTTGTAATTAAAAACATGATGGACGTCATTGAACATGGTTTCTACCACAATCAAACATATTCTGTGGAACTACTTGAAGAAGACTCATTGACAGGTTAATCTCTTCAGATCCAATAATAACAGAAACCAATTCCATTGGCAATTATTAAATATTTTTTATTCTTCATTATTCATATAAATTAACTCATTAATAAATTTGATAACTACTACTATCTTTATTTGTGATATTTAAAATCTAAATTAAATAATTTCACAATTGCTAAATAACTAAATTAATAACTGTGAAGTTTTTATGAGTGTTTATAGACATTGTCATTTTTTTATATTGACATTACCTCCTTCTTTATTTTCTTAACACCTAAACAATGAAAAGTTCAATTATAAACATTTGTTAATGATTTGATTAAGGGTTGTAATATAGATAATAAATAAAGTTCTATTTATTTTCAACACTAAGTTAAACAGATGAAAGAATTATATACAAGAATAGTAAATGTAAAACGTTGAAAATATAAAGCCAAAAAACCTGCCAAAAGATCTCACCTCGGAGTAAGTTATAGTGTTAATAAATATTCAATGAGTTACAACAAACAAAATATTAAATAAATTATAAATGAAAACTAGTCAAAAAAAATTTAAAATTGATTAACTGTTAATGCTTAGCAACACCTCCTTTTCTCATTGGCATGTACTTCTTCTTTTCATCAAGTTCTCTTTGAATCCACCACATTGTTCCTTGTCCACTTCCTCCAGCAGCAGCTTTTTGCTCAGCAAGATAAGCTTCAGCCTCTTCCATTTTCTTTTGTGTACTTTCAACTGCTTGTTCAGCTTCTTTAGCAGCTTCATCAGCTTTCTTTTGTGATTCTTGAGCAACAGTAGCATCATTGTCAGCCTTTTCTTTAGCTTCAGTAGCAATTTTAACAGCTTTAGCAGCTTTTCTTTGAGCAGCTTCAAGAGTAGTTTTGGCTCTTCTTAAAGGCAAATCATCTTCACTATCAAGTTTAGCTAATTCTTGGATAGCAGCGTTCTTAGCAACTAATCCAGCTGTTTCTATCTTTTTTTGAAGTGCTTTTCTTTTATCTTCTTTTGCTTGTTCTTGTGCTTTAACTTCATTTAAAGCTTTAGTAACATCATCCTCTGCTGCTTGTGCTTCTTTTTGTCTGGCAGCAGCAGCCTCAGCAGATTTTTTAGAAGCAGTAGCTTTTTCAGCAGCGGCTTCAGCAGACTTCTTAGATTCTTCAGCTTTTTTTTGACATTCTTCTAATTGTTTAGAAACCTCATCAAGTAATTTTTGAGCTTTATCTAACTCAGCAGTATTATCGCCCTGTGGGGCATTAGCTACTTTGTGCCAATCCATACCATAATAATAAGTAAGAAAATGAAGCATTCCAACTCTTTTAAAGTTTTCTACTCCAGCTTGTTTAAGTTGAGAACGCATTTCTTGAACAGTCTTTTGATTTCCAAGTTTTTCAAAGACACGGTGCATATTTAATTCATCAAGATCACATCCATTTTCGTGATTCTCAATCTCAAATTCTGAAAACATGTGAGTAAATTTCCATATTTCTTCAGCTACTGTATCTTTATGTGTTGGCCATAAAGCGTTTAACATCCAAATAGCTTGTTCTTTAAAACATTTCTTATTAAGAGCTTTGAAGGTATCTTGATCTCCCATACTTACTATTTTAAATATATTTTAATAAGATCACCTTTTTTAAGTTCTTTTCTCATAAAAGTTTGACATCAAATTAAACTTTTTAATCTTTTATAGATCTTATGAAGAAAAAAGAAAAGAAATCAATTATTTGAAACGAAGAGACCAATGAGACCATTGAGAACTGAAGTGATTGTTAAAGTTACTAATGACTAATCTGCCATTTTCTTGTGTAAATTTAATTTCAGTTTCTTCACTACCTCTTATGATAAATGCATTGGTAAACTTTTTCTCAGTAACTAAAACAAATTCGTTAATGAATTCACCGTACAAGTAATCTCCTTGAACAGTGTAATCAAATGAGTAATTGTTCATGGTCATAGTAACAGCAACATAATTATCAGAGTTGTCAACACTAATACCGTCATCAGTATAGAATTTACCTTCAGCATGTCCCATACTATCATAAATAACAACTCGAAGATAGTCATTCTTTTCAGACTCTGAACCAGATTTTCTTCCCTCAGTAACCATTCTCTCAGTAATGATATAACCTCCTCTTCCAAATAATGGAATAGAATCTAAAGTAACTGGAATTACTAAATTCATTGGTCCATTGTATACGTTACTGTTATTAAAGTAATCATACCATTTACCTTTAGGAATTTGTATTTGATGATTTGTTTCTCCTTCTTGAATTACTGGTGATGCTAATAAAGCGTCACCAATCATATATTGATTCTCATTATCAAATAAGTTATCTGATTCTGGGAATGAATAATACATTGCTCTGATTACTGGATTATAATCAATTCTATGATAATACCACAAGGAATACCAATATGGTAACATTTGATATCTTAAATTAACTGCACGTTTTAATCTATCAGCAACATTTTGTTCAAATAACCATGGCTCTCTTCTACTAGCTGTTTGACTAGAATGTTGTCTGAAGAATGGTTGTAATGCACCAGCTTGATACCAACGAATTAATAATTCAGTGGATGGATTATGAGCAAATCCTCCAACGTCTCCTCCACATAGGAATCCAAGCATATTAATATTAACTAATTGACTAACTTGACTAGATAAATACTCCCAAGTAGCATCAGAGTCTCCAGTCCACATAGCACCATACTTTTGTGAACCAATATAATATGACCTTGTTAAGACGAATGGTCTATACTTATTATTTGTTCTCTCTAATAACCCTTTTTGAGTAGACATTTGTTGTAACATACCATAAAGGTTGTGTACATTTTTGTGAAGAATACCTCCATTATGAACAGCTTCTTTCTTAACTAATAAATCTTGTATATCAAATTCAGTTGGTTCATTCATATCATTCCATGCATAAACTATTTCAGTTGTATCTTTGTATTTATCAAATGAATATAATCCAGCCCACCAATTTCTAGCTTCTTCTGATAAGAAATCTACCCAATTAGATTTTAAAGGCCAACATTCACCTACATAATCATCAGTACTATTAATACCTTTCTTAATGAAATAATTTCCGTTTTTACCTTCATCATGGACATAGTAACCATTGTCTGATGCAATATGACAATCTTGAATAGTGATAAGATATCTATTCTTTGATTTTAATTGTTCTTGTAATTTTAAAGGATGAGGGAAAGAAGATCCCCAAGTGAAGTATCGTTTACGTTGTGTATGCTCAATATCAAGCCATAAAGCATCATACATAAAACCATATTTATCAGCATCATTATCAACACCTTCAGCAATGTTTTGTGAATTATAGCCCCATTTACTATTATGGAATCCAAGAGAAAATCTTGGTGGCATAAAAGAAACACCAGTTAATGAATAATAACTCTTAAATAACTCTTGTGGATTTGGTTTTGAAATAATAAAGAAAGAAATATCGCTGTCTTCTGAAGTAATAAGTAATTTAGCCTTGTTGTTATAAAGTTCATGGTCAATAAATGTGTCTGTTGGATTAGTATATAATACTGCTGTTGATTTACCTCCTTTATGAGATATAAAGACAGGTAAATTACCATATTGTGGATGAGTAGAATTAACAGGGAATGTAGTATATCCTGAAGCATAAAAATGATATGGCTCAGTAAAAGCTCCTTTAGACTTATCAGTTAAAGGAAGTGGTTGATGTACATTTTTACCAGATCCAAATAATCGTTTAGTTGGAAATTCTACATCAATTCCAACTGGATAATAATCACTTTTAACATCTTCTCTATAAAGGAATTGTCCAGTACATCCAATACATAAATCATTATCAATTACAACTGATGCATTTTTATAAACTGAAAATAAAGTTGTTCCTGCTTTAAAATTAGCTACATAAGCACTAGAAGATATTAGTGTAATGTCTTGTGGTTTAAGAGGTTTATAAGCAGTATTTGTTGGAATATTAAATCTAACATGTTCAATAGATGGATAAGTATATCTAATATATAACTGATTATCACCTAATGAAATAATATTTAATTGAATATTCTTATTTATGCTCCAAGTTGGCTTTAACTTAAATGATAAAATATTATTAGTATAAGTATATGAACGTACATCAGCATTATAATGGGAAACAGGTCTAAATCTATTTAAATTACACCATGACCTACTAGAACATGTAGGAGGTTTATTGGGTATTGCAATAACAAAAGCAATAATAGAGAAGAAAACGAACATAATGAATTAGATAAATTCCAGATCAATAAACTATAATAGATTAATAAATTTATTATATTTTATCAAAAAATAATAAAAAATAAAAAGATTAATTAATTTATTTATGAAATTTCAATAATAATTTGTTGTGAATTAATAACATGAAATTGCAGAAATAATTTCATTAATAAAACAATAAATAAAATAATAAGAATAACAAATAATTGATAATAAAAACAATGTTAATTTTTTCATTCAATCATAAGAAGATTTAACCCTTTAGAAATGGTACAATTATTTTGACTTTTAATTTCATTAAAGAAATATGAATTAATTTGTGTTCCTAATTCTTCAATATCACTCTTTTCTAAAATTACTTTTCCATTTCTCCAAATCTCTTTTACAGTTTCAATTCTTTGAGAACCTTGAGCCCCTTTTGTAACTCTAGAAACAAATATATACCCTAATTCAAATAAAAGGTCTATCAATAAATGAAGTCCTTCACTAATTTTATATGTCTCCATTCGTCTCATAGCAGTTTTTATTGGAACTCCATTTTCAATATCTTTTTGGAAGAGATCATTACATCGATGTTCTACTACTAGATTAAATAAAATAGAATCTTCTCCATGAACTAAACGATTAATTCTTAATAATTGAGTAGCAACATTTGATCGTTTTATTGGAGGAAGTAATTCAATCTCAAAATAATCATTTAATAATGCAAGAAAAATACTTTGTTGAGCAACTTGGTAATTTCTTTTTTCTCTAAATTGGTATTTTCTTTTATATCCAGTCTCTTTTTTCCATTCTAAACTAATTTCTTTTCCTTTAGAATTCTTTATTTTATGTTCTGAATGAGTATAATTATTACCTAATGTTTCTTCTGTTTGCATAGTTACTTGATCAAAATTAATAATGATGAGTTCTATCTAGAAATTAATTTATTATTTTTATTTTTATCGATAGAAAAAAGCTTTTTGTATATAACAAACATTTTTTAAAATAAGATTTTAGTTTGATCTAATTATAGCTTACTGTTTCAATTGTACTCTTATTGAATAAATGAATAAAGATTAGAAATGGTTGTTTTTTTCCCATCTTGGGTTGTAAATTAATCGTTTTTTTTTTGCTAAACTATGTGGATTGAATATTTTGTGTCATTATGAACATTTCTTCAATTAAAAGAATGTCTGAGTATTTTTGTGTTTTTTCAATAAGTTGTCTATTGTAGTATATTATATCTTAATTAAGAAATATATTTGATGTACAAAAACTAATCTATAACCGACCTTCATATGATAAAATAATGAAGCAAATAATCTTCAATTTTTTAAGTTTAAAAAATCTAAAGAAAATCTGATTTTATCAAAAAAAGATTAAAAGAAGTTTGAGTCATCACAAAATGGTATTATATATTCAAAGGTATTTGCTGAATAAACAATAACAGAAGAATAAAAAGAAGAATGGATTAATGAAAGTGAGTTTCTAATTCAATAAATAATTGTTCTGTCTCTTTTAAATCATTTAGTAAAAGGTCATTGATTTTCTAATATGTTATTTAAAGTTTAGATTAAATGTGTTTTAAAAAACAAACTTTTGTCATAGAAATATTTTGTTGTGGTTGAGTATCTTTTTTATTTGTTGCGTTCATAGTATAATTTAATTCTTCTATAATAGGTTCAATGGAAATAAGTGGTGTTATTGGCGTTGTATCTTCACTTCCTAAATGGTGATTCATTAATTCCGTGATTTTGTTATCTAATATACTTGATATATAATCTGCGTATGAGTCAATAGCCTATGTTATTGAGTATAAGTGTTTTTATTTTATTACAACTAATTCAAACATTGTATATAACATTAGCAGGTGTTACTTTAATACCAATAAGAGTCTCTTCTAGTGCATCAATATTTTCATCTATTGCTGTAGAAATGACTCCTCTCATTTCTCTTTGAAATGGTGGTTCAATTTGTGTTTGTTCCATTATCTCTTTTTTTTAGTTTTTCTTTTTTTTTTTAGTTATTAATAACATAAATTTAAATAAAGGCATAATTTTAATTGAAAAGTGCAAATGAATTCTTTTGAATTTCCTTCACATAAAACTAAAACTATTAGAGAGTCTAATAGTTCCACTAAAATGTTCATGTTAATAAATTTAAAAAATTTGGTTAAATAACTTAGTTATTAGTAAGAAGACAACTTTAATTTTCTTTATTAAATTTAATGAGAATAACTTGTCTAAAAGCAGATCTTCAGAAATATTTTGTGATGAAGGATAGATAAAGTTTCAACGTCAAGAGTTAAGTAATTTTATTATTATTATAACACCAACAAAAAATAAATAAGAAGGAGTTTGATAAAGATTTTTTATAGCACAATAACTTATATATGAAAATGAATTATATATAAATGAGGTATTAAATTTAATTACTATTATAGAAATAAAATAATTTAAAAAATGGAACCTATCAAAAGAATAACTGTTTATTTTAAAGTAAATACTTTTATTTCAAATTATGTTTCAATGTTTTTTTAATTTGAATTGGTTGATTTGTCAGTAAGAAAGTGAATTAATTTTTCTTATTTTAATTTAAGTTTTAATAATAACATAAAATAATGTTATATATTACATAACAAAAACTTCATGATAAAATAATAAATTAATAAAACTAATAGATGAATTTTAAAAATAAAAAGTAATAATAAATAGAACAATAGAAAAGAATAAAAACAAAAAGAGTGTATAGCAGAATGACATTTCTAAACTTAACAAAAGAAAAAAAAAAGAAGGAAATTCGTCAAGAACTACCATTTAAAGGAAAAGAACTTACAACTCAAAATCATTAAAATATAAATGCAAAGATTAATTCCAGTAATTAATAGTTTACAAGATGTCTTTACAGCTGCAGGTCTTCCAAACACATTACCTCTTCCACAAATTGTTGTTGTTGGGTCACAGTCATCTGGAAAATCTTCAGTATTAGAACATGTTGTTGGAAAAGATTTTCTTCCACGAGGTTCTGGTATAGTTACGCGAAGACCACTCATTGTGCAATGTGTTAGAAGTAATGTTGCTCAAGATTATGGACAATTTGAACATACGGGAGATCGTAAATTTACAGATTTTGGAGAAATAAGAAATGAAATTACAAGAGAAACTGAACGTACTTGTCCTGGTAGAAATGTTTCAAGTATACCAATTAGATTAAGAATATTTTCATCTTCTGTTGTTGATTTAACATTAGTTGATCTTCCAGGTTTAGTAAAAGTTAATATTAATGGACAAACAGCAGAAATGGTTAAAAATTTAAGAGATATGGTTTATGAATATGCATCACCAAGTAATGCTCTAATTCTTGCTGTTACTGCTGGAAATATTGATATTGCAAATTCTGATGCACTTCAAGTTGCAAAAGATGTTGATCCAGAAGGAGAAAGAACTATTGGTGTCTTAACTAAACTTGACTTAGAAGATAAAGGAACTAATTCAATGGATGTTTTAATGGGAAGAGTTTATCCATTAAAACTCGGATATATAGGAGTAGTTAATAGATCACAACAAGACATTAATAATAGAGTAGATGTTAAAACTTCATTAAGACATGAAAAAGAATTTTTTGAAAATCATCCAGTATATTGTTCTATTGCTGAACGAATGGGTACAGAATATATGGTAAATAGACTTAATGTTCTTCTTCTTCAACATATTCAAAAATGTCTACCTGGATTAAAACAACAAATTACTCAAAGTTATGAAAAGGCAAGATCAAGATATGAGGAGATTAAACCAGATGATGATAATCTTCTTTCATTATCACTTCAACAAATAATGAAATTCTCTAGTGCTTTTGCTGCTGCATTAAATGGAACTAGTACTGACATCCATACTCACGAAATTTCTGGAGGTGCAAAAATTTTTAGTGTGTTTGAAAATAACTTTAGACCAACTATTGATAAACAAGATATCCTTTCTGGAATTAAAGATGTTGATATTTTAACAGCCATTAAAAATGCTAGTGGAACTAGGCCATGTCTTTATGTACCACAAAGTGCTTTTGAAAATCTAATTTCCAAACAAGTTAGAAATTTTGAGGGTACTTGTCATAATTGTGTGGATAATGTTTATGGAGAAATGAAAGCTATTGTAGGTAAAACTGCTAAAGAAAATATTGAAAAATATGATAGATTTAGAGAGGCACTTATTCAAGCATCAACTGAAGTAATGAATGATTATATGACTCAAACACATAGAATGGTACAAGACCTTATTGATATTGAAGCAGATTATATTAATACAAGTCATCCAGATTTTGATACAACTAAAGTATTAAAAGAAGCAGACGAGGCTATGAAAACTCCAGAAGATGGAATTGATACCATTGTCACCATTGATCCAAACAACACACGGAATGCACAACAACAAAATGATCTTAAAAAGCCAGTTAAATCAAGTCACTTTGCTGGACAAATTAACAAAAATCAACCTAAACCACAACAACAATATGCTCAAAAAGAAAAGGTAACAAGCTGTATTAGAGTAGATCATACTAACCAAAGAGAAATGAGAGAAATTGGTTTGATTAGAAATTTATGTAAAGACTACCTTCTTATTGTTAGAAAAAGTATTAAAGATCTTATTCCAAAAGCTGTCATTCACTTCTTAGTATTTAAAACAAGAGACAGTTTACAAAGAGAATTAATTAAAAAGTTATATAATGAAACTTTATTACAAGACCTTCTTGCAGAAAATCCTGCCATTGTTAATGAAAGAAAAGTTGTCAAACAAAATCTTGAAGCACTCAAAAAGGCTTTAGACATTATTAATCAAGTAAGAGATCAATGCTTCTAAAAAAATTACTTTAATTTGAATGTTATTTTCAAGTATTTTTATCCTATTCCCAAATAATTTTCAAAATTTGTTAAACTTTTATTTTAGATATTTATAATAACAATGAAATTTTATCTTTTAAAATAATAAAATTCATTTAATTAAATCTTATATTGAAAGAAATTTTTTCTTTATCTCATATTAAAATACTTAAACCTCATTGATCTTTATTATAAGTTATTTGATTTTGAAAAATAACAAAAAATGTGTTACATTAGTATTATATAATATTAGTAACAAAATAAATTATATACTTTCTTGTTTTAATTTTTATTCCTTATTAAACTTAAAGAAATCAATGACTAAAAGAAAGAATTTAATTCCCTGATAATTGAGTAGAACAAGATATAAAATATAATCAACAAATAAAGAAGTTCTAAGTTATATTTGTTATTTTAGTCAACAATCATTTCATTGATTCTTTTATAAAAAGTGAGTATGCCTACTCAAAAAAAAAGAAATGAACATAGGTTGTTGCAAGGTAATGATGGACTTTTTGAACTTAAGGAGAAAGTATATTCTAAATTAATAATTCATTTAGTATAAGATAAAATGAATTATTAAAAATAGAAAACTTTAAATTCAAAAGAATAGTTGTAATAAAAGATATAATTAATTAAAGTAATGAAAAATGCATTTTAAATATCTTTAAACCAGTATTCCGATCATGGTTTGAAGTTATTTTTTTCATTTTTATAGTTTTTTTGACTCAGTTAATTTTTCAGTAACTAATAAAATTAAACAGAAGATAGAACATAGAATCTTTAATAATAAAATAATTAATATAAATGGTATACAACAATAATTAAGTATAATAAAGGAATTACAACAATATAATGAACTATAACAACTAAAATATTTGTGTGAATAAAGTAAATATAAGGAAAATATACGTATTAAATTAGTATATCTATATTAACTAAAATAGACAAATTTAATATTAATAATCATCAAGAAGTAAGTTTTTTTGTTATAAAAATAAAGAAACATATAACAAAGTAAAGTAGAATTAATAGACAAAATTTAATATCTTCAAGATAGTACACAATAAAATAACAATTACTCTATTAAATTAATATCAATAAATAACACCCACCAATGTAATTTAAATAGATGTCGGTTTTCAACTTAATTTGAAAATCTGAACAATCAATTATTACTAGAATCTGGATAAAATGAAGTGTCATTATTTCCATTAAACGAATAATGTTGTGGTGAAAACGAATGTGGAGAAGAAGTTTGGAAATGAGGTTGAGAAGTGGCATTATCTGATAATGGGGGTTGAGAATTTCTAGAAACACTTTGTTGGTTTGTTTGATTTGAAGTAGAAGTAGGTATAGGAACTGTGATAGGAGGGGCAGGTAATTGTTGAAAGTGATTAGTGATATTGTTACTTGAAGTATTAAATTCTTGTTGAACATTATTTTGATAAGCAGATGCAGGTTGAGCGAAAGTTTGGAAAGGTTGTACTATTTGTTGTTGAGGATTTGTTTGAACAGATGTATTGATACCAACAATTAAAGATACTAATTCACTAATTAAAGCATTTTCTTGAGGATTAAGACTTGATATAATTCTTAATAACTGTGGAATTCTTTGGTTTTGAGGAAGTTGTTGGTAAGAATTAATCATACCTACCAAAGGGGCACTTAAAGGATTGGCATTAGTTTGTTGTGTCAAATCACGTAAAATTGATTGTTGGTATTGTAATATTTGTAATACAGATTCTTCAGTTTGTTCATTAGCATTTTGTAAAGCAGCAGGTTGTATTTCTAAATTTTGTTGAGAAGGAGAAGGAAGAGGTTGAACAACAGGAGTTGACACAGGAAGATGAGGTTGAGTAAGAACTTTATTTTTTTGTTCTGGTTTAATAGAAGAAGGAAGTTTAGGAGGTTTAGAACTTCTAAAAGATTAGTATAAATACGTATGTCTATAAGAATAAATTAATATTAAATGAATATAATCAAATATTAAACATTCTATTGTACAACATAAAGAAATATTTTATAATTTTATTAAAAACTATAAACAAACGGTACTTTCTTTTTACCATCAGCTTTTGAAATAACTCTAATAGGAAATGAATGTAATGTTGCAATTTCTTCCCCCATTTTATTTGTTAATTTAAATATTACTTTAAATAACATATCTTCATGTTGACTTGATAATACTAATATACGTACATCACATGTTATTCTATTTGGTGATGACAGTTGTGCAGTAAATGAAATTGGTTTTTGATTAATATAATGAACTTCCTAATATAAATTAATATTTATTATTTCCTTTTTATTTTTTATGTATCTTTTAGTAACAAACAGTTAATCCATCATTGTCATATACCAATGAACAATCAACACTACACCCTTCTAATGTAATACTCTCTGACGAGATTGAAACTATAAATGAACTTTGTTTTATTACTACATGAACTTCTTTTGTTGTTCCATCTGCTTCAATTCGTTCTTCTTTTGGTAATTTATGTTGACAAGTAACTATAAATTGTCCTTGATGACTTGTAGTGTCTTCCATATTGAAGAAGTAAAAAAGAACAAATGAACTCAAATTTACCCTTTCTTTTTTTTTCTTTTCTTCACTTTTTATTATTTTTCTATCAAAAAAATCTTCAATAAACAAAACTTCTCACAAAAACACAATAGTCATAATAAAAGAAAATAAAATACCCACAGTAACTACTTCACTATTATTACTCAAACAAAATAAAAGTAAATTTTATTTCACCACATAATACTAATATCACTCTCATTCATTATTATGACTCATGTCAATTTGACTACATGATACTATTAAAAATTTTAAGCTGTTAAATGATGTTATAAGTTATAACAAGTGATATAAAAGAAACATATCAAAACTAAAAAAAATATATACAACTAACTAATAATAAAATGGAAATTATCATAAATAAAATATTTAAAAAAATATTATTAAATATAACAAACCGATAAGAAAATAAAATAACAAAATAAATCAATAACAATATTTTATATTTTTTAATTTATTAAAAATAGTTTATTTATACAATAAATTAGAATTCTCAAATAATTTTTATTTTTTACTTATTTAAAACTTAAAATCAAAGTTTTAGATTTTTTATTTAACAAAAAAAAACAGAAAAATAATTTTATAAAAGAACAAGAGCCTAAAAATAAATCAAATTTATTGATAGTATTTATTATCTAAACTTACTAATACACGTAAAATTGTGTAATTAATAATAAAGACAATAATACTTACAATACCAATCATGAAATAGTGAATACCATGTACTGAACTATACTCTTTTTCTTTAATAGTAGATTGTTGACCACCACCAACCACCTCTTCTTCTTGTACAATTTCAATTGGTTTTTGTTCTGTTTTTTTTATTTCTAGGGCATTCATTTTAGGGATTTCTTCAGTTTCAGGAAGAATTGGAGGAATAACACTTTCTTGTAACTTTTTGTTTTGTTCTTCATTAATTTGTTTATTTTCAACAACACCTGTTATACTAGTAACAGATGGTTGGGTTTTACTTTTTCTTATATCCTTATTGATTGTTGTTTCTTCTTTAATCTTATTTAATAACTCATCATTTCCTTTAGGAGTTGGTTCATTTTCAATAATACTATCACCTAGAGGATCATTTAAGATTTTTTGTTCAAGTGAATGGCTAATCAGACCTACACTCCTTTGAGAGTTATTAAGATAATCGTTTATGTCATCAGGATCATAACTATTTAAACTATCTTTAGGAATGTCTTTATTGATATTTAGAGACATTAACTGATTTATTAGATTTAAGTTATTTCTGGTTTTGAAAGAAAAAATGGTAAAAAAGATAATTAATATATAAATTCGTAATTGAGCCTTTTCAAATTAAAGGAGTAAAAATCTTATTTAGTTGATATCCTTTATTCCTATTGTAGAGTTTATTAATTATTGATGTATTAGAAAATTTTTATTCTAAAATATTGTTTTAATTTCCGATGTAAAACATTATATCTTTCATATTTTTAATTTTATTATTTAAAACTAAAATTAATATTCAGATATGAAACATTCATAAATACCTTATTTTATTAAAATAAATTCATGTTACTTAATTATTGAGGAACTATTCTAAATATAATAATATCAGAATTTTAGATTTAAAACATTAAAAATGTTGTTAGTTAATAAAAATAAAATTAACACCTTCTTATTGAAGAAGGTTACTGAAACAATTTGAATTGTTTTATGTTAATGAAATATTAGATTCAATCTATTGAAGTAATTAATAAAAACATATCTGAAATTTCATTTAATATATTGAAAAAAAAATATGGTGTGGTTCATTTAAAGTAAAAAGAAGTTATTTTTATTCAATATTTAACGTGCTATAATTTTATTTTATTAATATATTGAGATTAAATAAAATTAGTAACTAAAATTAGGATAGTTTTGTTTGATGAATAAAAAAGGATAGATAAAAACGGGTAGTTGTGAAGAATAACTAAAAATAACAAAGACAAAAAAGATAATACTTTTTAAAAATCACTGTTAATTATTTTCATTAGTTTCAACCTTTCATAAAAATTAAATCAAATTTTAATTTAATAATATTTAACTAATATTTATTTGATAAAATTAACAAAAATATCATTTTACTCTAATAAAATTATTTGAAATAGATTAAATAAAATGTTATAATTGATTATGAAAATTTTCTCATTGATAATGAATAGATAAATAGCAAAGAGAATAATTAAAATATATTCAATAAGTTATTATTTAAGACATAATAAAAACTTTGGTAAATACTGAATAGATTCTATTCTTATTTTTAAAATTTCTATACAATATTAGAAAGCAATTTTTTATTAATTTTATTGTAAAAATAGTAATGATTAATGAAAAAATGATATATATTTTCAATACTAATTGATAAAGAATTAACACAGTGCTTGTAACTATGAACAAGTCCATATTATTACTAGAATAGATAGGATTTCATTCCACTGAAAAGAAAATAATGTTAATAATAATATCCAAGTTATAGAATAAATTAATATTTTGATGAATTACTTATTAACAAAAACACTAATATTGCTAATAATATAAATCTTTCATTTCAAAATTATATTTTATAAAAACTGATGACTGTATTCATTTTTTTTTGAATTAACTTTAGTGAGTTTATTATATTTTATACAAACTATAGTAATTCTATTAGGCATTGAAATATTAAAAACACTTTAGTTAAACAGCTTTATATAATCAATTAAATAATTACTATAAAATTTACTTTTGAATTATATGAATTACAAAATGTATATCCAATTTTATTATTTATTCACATTTGTATTATATTTTAATATTTCTTCTATTTATATGCCAACATTTAGATACTTTTTATATTCTCTTTTAATTACGTTTGTGATAAACAGCTTTCTTTGATCATTTTGAATAAATTATAAATGAATATCTGTCAAATAAAATGTAATGTAACTAATATAACTCTAATAACTTATTATAGTTTTTTGTTAAATAAATATAATTATAAAAATAAAATACTGAAAAACAAATAAAAAACCTCAAAACGGACTTCCACAAAAAGAGAAACATAAAATTTACACAATTAAATAATAAAGTTAAATATAACAACTAAGCTGATTAGTTAACTGACTTCAATTAGAAAAGATCATATTTAATTAAAAGAGGTTATTGAAGCACTTACACCCATACAACGTTTTGGTTAAGAATATTTGTTTTCATTCAGTCATAGTGTTTATTATAAATAATTGAAATAGTCAAGTATTGTGTTATGCACTCATTAACTATTGTTTGTCTAACCATAAATTGGCTCCTTGATAAAAATAAGATTTGGTTGATGGGTATAATAACAGTAAATTTATATTTTATTTGTTCTATGATATAAAAGTAGTAGACTTTCTTTCAGAAGATAAAAAACAATTTTTGATAATAAGTAATAATTTCATGAATAAAAATATTTTTGTTATTAAACATCCTTTTTTTTATTCATAAAGAAATGGTTTAAAAAACAAGGATAATCGCATCAAAAAAGATAACATAAAAACAATTTAACAACTTAAACTCTTTGTTTAGAAAAGATCACCAAATCCACCGAAGTCTTCCTCTTCTTCTTCTTCTTTTTTCTCTTCTTTCTTTTCTTCAGCTTTAGTTTCAGTTTGTGCAGTAGTAGCAGCTGGGGCAGCGGCTGCAACAGCCATTGATCCCATTTGTTTCTTTCCAGCTTCAATAACTTCCCAAACATTCTTACCATTCATGGCATCGAAAACTTGTTTGATTTTAGCTTCGTCAATTTCAGCACCAGCAGCACTGAGGATTTCTTTGACTTTAGCTTCTTCAGCGTGTTCATGTCCAATAGTGCAAAGGATGTAAGCAGCAATGTATTGCATTTTCAGCCTGGGATGTCAATTTTTCAGTTTTTTCTCTCATTTTTAGGGCTTTTTCTTTTTAC